ATATTCAAATACAGTTATCTCCCATTAACCACTTAGTCAAAAAAAAAATTATCTGCCTTTTAGAATATCAAAATGTCAAATAAACTATCACCAAAGAAAGCTAGATATTCCCAAAACAAGTACATAAAAGTTTGTATAATCTATAGATACTCCTCAGAGTGAAACAAAAGATAAATTATATTAGATAGACCACACAAGCAAAGTGAAATTCATGTTATGATGAAATATATATAGGTTAACCTAAGTTATACCCAGCTTTGGTTCAATGATATAATTTTCCTATAGATAAAATACAACTGGGCATGGTAACTACAAACAAGATAAAATACAACTGGGCATGGTAACTATAAACAAGATAAAATACAACTGGGCATGGTAACTACAAACAAGATAAAATACAACTGGGCATGGTAACTACAAACAAGATAAAATACAACTGGGCATGGTAACTATAAACAAGATAAAATACAACTGGGCATGGTAACTACAAACAAGATAAAATACAACTGGGCATGGTAACTATAAACAAGATAAAATACAACTGGGCATGGTAACTACAAACAAGATAAAATACAACTGGGCATGGTAACTATAAACAAGATAAAATACAACCGGGCATGGTAACTACAAACAAGATAAAATACAACTGGGCATGGTAACTATAAACAAGATAAAATACAACTGGGCATGGTAACTACAAACAAGATAAAATACAACTGGGCATGGTAACTATAAACAAGATAAAATACAACTGGGCATGGTAACTATAAACAAGATAAAATACAACTGGGTATGGTAACTATAAACAAGATAAAATACAACTGGGCATGGTAACTACAAACAAGATAAAATACAACTGGGCATGGTAACTATAAACAAGATAAAATACAACTGGGCATGGTAACTATAAACAAGATAAAATACAACTGGGCATGGTAACTACAAACAAGATAAAATACAACTGGGCATGGTAACTACAAACAAGAAAGAGGATAAAGATAGCAAGGGGACATTTAAAACTCATAAGTTGAAGAGAATCTGGCAATGCCATGGCAATAAATGAAAAACTTTGAAAAAGGCAAACAATATATTATAGAAAACTAATAAAATGCTCCGCTGGGGAGCAGCTTGATACGACCGCAGAGGTCGAACCCTGAACAGTTGGGGCAAGTATGGACACAACATTCAAGCTTGATACAGCTCTGAATTTAGATTGTGATTAAATATTTGACACAGCATAGGTTTCTGACACAGAATGAATGTGGTCTAAGAAAATTTTAATTTATCTATTCAAACCATATCATTATTATTTGCTTTTATATATAAATCAGAAATAACCAATTTAAAATGGAAAATTTTAAAGAAAAAAAAGGAAAACAAGGGGAAAAAAATCCCCCCTTCCCAAATTGTTTGAACCCCCTTACGATTCATCACCCCAAAATCAATCCCAGCCTTCCCTTAGTGGTATGGTACCTTGCAGTACAATTTCAGAGAGATCCATACACTTGAACACAAGTTATTGTCAGGAAACTAAAAAAATGCTTATTTTTGGCCCCTTTTTGGCCCCTAATTCCAAACATTTTGGGCAATTACCCCCAAACTCAATTCCAGCTTTCCCTTTAAGAAATGGAACCTTGTAGTACAATTTCAGAAAGATCCATGCACTTACAAACAAGTAATTGTCATGAAACTAGAAAAATGCTTGTTTTTTGGCCCTTTTTTGGCCCCTAATTTCTAAAATTTTGAGGCAATTACCCCCAAAATCAATCCCAGAATTCCCTTTGTGATATGGAGCCTTGTGGTACAATGTCAGAGAGATCCATACACTAACACACAAGTTATGTCTGGAAGTTACAAAAATGCTTATTTTTGGCCCCTTTTTGGCCCCTAATTCCTTAACTGTTGGTACCATAACCACCAAAATCAATCCCAACCTTCCTTTTGTGGTATTGAACCTTATGGTCAAATTTCATAGAGATCCATTCACTTAAACTAAAGTTAGAGTGTGAAAACCAATGTATCTTCGGAAAATGACGACGACAGCGACAATGACGCCAACGTCATACCAATATACGACCGCAAAATTTTTTTGCGGTCGTATAAAAACTGAGCAACACAATCAGGAGGAAATCAGGAGTTATCTAGGATAATCCTGAACTTATTGTTTACCAATAGCATCCAAAAATATTGTAGTGGCAAAATTAAATTATATTATCAAAAGTGGAAATAAACTGTATTGCAAACATGCACTATGTAATATTCTCCTCAGAATGACATCCACTTAAATATCATGAAATAACCCTACAGTATAATTTCATTCTAAAATGTACACCTTTCTATAAACTCTTTCATAAAATATATACCCAAATATTACACATCTTGTAATATGTAAACCTATCATAATGATAATGATAATGATAACCAATTATGCCAAGTTTCATTTCAATCCAATGAATCTTTCAGGAGTACACATTCCACATACTTTTTTTTTATGTAAAATAGTAAAAAACAATATGGAACTATCTCTCCAAGGGGAGATAATTTTCTCACCCTATTGTTAACTATTGCTTGTTTTCTACTGACTGAGAAAGCCTTGGAAACATTGTAAGACTTGGAAATCAAATCCTGTGGTATGTGTTTCTATACTGACTGAGAAAGCCCCATCTTGGAAACATTGTAAGACTTGGAAATCAAATCCTGTGGTATGTGTCTCTACTGACTGAGAAAGTCCAGTCTAAGAAAAAATGTAATACTTGGAAATCAAATCCTGTGGTCTGTGTTTCTACTGACTTGAGAAAGCCCTGTCTTGGAAACATTGTAAGACTTGGAAATCAAATCCTGTGGTTTGTGTTTCTACTGACTGAGAAAGCCCAGTCTTGGAAACATTGTAAGACTTGGAAATCAAATCCTGTGGTCTGTGTTTCTATACTGACTGAGAAAGCCCAGTCTCAGAAACATTGTAAAACTTGGAAATCAAATCCTGTGGTATGTGTTTCTACTGACTGAGAAAGCCCAGTCTCAGAAACATTGTAAGACTTGGAAATCAAATCCTGTGGTTTGTGTTTCTACTGACTGAGAAAGTCCAGTCTTGGAAACATTGTAAGACTTGGAAATCAAATCCTGTGGTCTGTGTTTCTATACTGACTGAGAAAGTGCAGTCTATGAAACAATGTAATACTTGGAAATCAAATCCTGTGGTCTGTTTCTATACTGACTGAGAAAGCCCAGTCTTGGAAACATTGTAAGACTTGGCAATCAAATCCTGTGGTCTGTTTCTATACTGACTGAGAAAGCCCAGTCTTGGAAACATTGTAAGACTTGGCAATCAAATCCTGTGGTATGTTTCTCGATTGTCTCTTAAAAAAATCTAACCCTTGTGTTTCTGATATTTCCCAGTTTGCACTCCTTATAAAAAAAAGGAGATGAAGTATAATTGCCAATGAGACAACTATCCACCAAAGTTCAAATAAAGTAGATGTAAGCAATTATAGGCAACCACACAGCCTTCAACAATGAGAAACACCCAAACCATATAGTCGGCTATAAAAGGTCCTACTTATTACTAGATTTATAATTTCTTAACATTGCTTAAAAGTAGGTCATGCACAAATGAAAGAGATTTGCTTACTCTTAAAATACAAGACTATTCGTGATTAGCATGTATATTTTCCATTAACACGATTTCCTATAATTCAAATGTGCATGACATTTAAGAAATATGCTCCAAACATCTGTGTCTAGGAGATTAAGATTTATTAAATATGTAATGCCAGCTTTTATTACTTTCAAAATGACTTGTATTTCTGCAGTTCTACAATGCGTACCATGAAAATCCATTTAGGAGACATGATCGACTTTCTTTTAACATCAGTCTTATTCACATGAAAACCACAGCAATAATTGTGTAAGTACCGTGTTCAAATTTGGTATATATTACCCTGGTATATTTAACATCAGACAGGGTGCATATGATAAAGGTTCTTGTTTAACATTATTTCTTCCTGCACTTTGTTCCTTAATTTAGGATTCACAATTTTGTTACTTCATGTCACAATAAATTCAGCTATTATGTCATAAATAAATAATTTCTACAAGTGGAGAACCATTTACTGTCACTTGACATTTCATGCAATAACGGAAGCGTAAATAAGACATACTTTTGTTATCTTTAGACAAATACTGTCATTTCATGGATAAATACTGTTTTTTTTTTATCCCATTTAGAAAGGGATTTACAGTTATCTTTTTTTTAAATGCATTGTGGGAAGATTCAGGTGTAGGGACATGACATTATCTCTTAATGACGTCCTGTCCTCAATTTCTAAAACGTTCTGTTTTAAACATAGCAATTTATAAGCTTGATTTAGAATACACATTTGATTCAAACAAATATGCACCTCTTCAATTCATTGTAACTTGCTGATTACAAAATGACATAAATTCATAATATGTCAGGATTTAGAGCAAAAAGGTCTATCTTATTAATAGCCAATATGAAGATATAATTGGTTCATTTGACATACTGTTTTCACTTCTTGCTACACAATTGCAAAATGTGACTTTAATGTCAAAATTATGTGAAATTCTATCATTTAAATGTCTACTTTCAAAAGTGATGGTAACTGACAGGTCCTTTCATCCATAAAATATCACACACAAAAATCACATCATTCTCACTCTGGGCCCACCAGTGTAAATGCTGCATGCTTAGTGGAGAAGCAGCAAATATCAATTTTTCAAGTCTTTGGTTAGACCAGACTGGAGCTCAAACCAAAGACCTCCAGCACACAAGGTAAGCATGCTACCATGAGACCTTCGATGCAGTATATCAAAAGTATGCATTTTTGTAATTTTTTTGTGAATGTTCATAAAATTTGAGAGATGTTACACTTTAAACTTCACACATACCTATCAACTCATACAAGGCAAAAACAGCACTTTGAAATACTTTTATTATTAGGCCAAATAGGCCCTTTTTGGGAGACAACTAGATAACCTACCTTTTTTCTCCTTCTCAGATCTTTCTTTTCTTTTTCTCTTACTCTCTGGGTTATCATATCTATCCCTAAAATATATTAAAAAGTGTCAATTCCTTCTCCTTCGGAAAACATCATATCCTTATCTATTCCTTAAAATAAGGAGAAGATAAGTGGAAATTTGAGAATGAAAGTTCACAAATTTTTCAAAATCTGAAGCCTTAATTTCAGCACAAACCAATAGAGCCGAACCAGACGTAAACTCAATCTGTAACTCATCATAGTTGACTCACTACAAAATATCAGCTCAATATGTGTAGGCGTTTAGAAAAAGTTGGTATAACTGTTATTTTCACAAAATTTTCAAAGTCCATAGCCCGTAATTTCAGCAAAAATCAGCAGAGCAGAACCAAATGTAAACTTGATCTGTAACTCATTTTAATAGAGTCATGTTCTAAAAATCAGCTCAATATGTGAAGGTGTTTAGAAAAAAGTCTGTATAACTGCTATTTTCAAAAAATGTTCAAAATCCAAAGCCTGTTGTTTCCGCAAAAATAATCATAATAGAACCAAAAGTAAACTCGATCTGTAACTCATCATAGAAGACTTACATACTAAAAATCAGCTCAATATGTGACGGCGTTTAGAAAAAAAGTCTGTATAACTGCTATTTTCATGAAATTTTTAAAGTCTAAAGCCCGTAATTTTGGCAAAAATCAGCGGAGCGAAACCAAACATAAACTCTATCTGTAACTTATCATAGAAGACTCACATACTAAAAATTAGCTCAATATGTGAAGGCGTATAGAAAAAAGTATGCATAACTGTTATTTTCACAAAATGTTCAAAATCCGTGTAACTGTTAGTTGCGGAATGACGGAATGACGGATAAGGGTAAAATTATATGGCCCTGACAACTTTGTTGGGGTGGGAGGGGGGTCATAAAAATAAATTTGGTGTAAGACTGTAAATTCAGTATTTATTGTGACTATTTACTAAAGTTACTGTTGAGATGCATTTTAATTAGTGTGATTTATGAAATTGCTGCATGTAAAAACTGCTGTCAAAATATTACATATGTGTTTTAATTAATGCATTAATCAAACCATGTAAAAACTGCTGTCAAAATATTACATATGTGTTTTAATTAATGCATTAATCAAACCATGTAAAAACTGCTGTCAAAATATTACATATGTGTTTTAATTAATGCATTAATCAAACCATGTAAAAACTGCTGTCAAAATATTACATATGTGTTTTAATTAATGCATTAATCAAACCATGTAAAAACTGCTGTCAAAATATTACATATGTGTTTTAATTAATGCATTAATCAAACCATTGTTTTTTTACCTTTTAAAATCATTACAAGAATATAATTTTGACTGATATGAATGATATCAACAAATCACAGACAGAACCAATGATTTGGCCATCATATTTTTAACTCACTTGTTGATATCATCCAAAATCTGTTTATTTCATTGCACAAATGCAGCATTATTTACCTCTAGCAAAAAATTGTGTGCAGACTGCTGCTAGATCCATCTTGGATTGGCAGTGATGGGTGAGCTTTTTTGTTCTGTGTTAATGCCTCACAATGACCAGCAATTAAATTACAGTTCCTTTGCTGTGACTGTTATCAAGAGCATGCAGATATTTTTGTCATGAATTACTTCATCACTTTTCCATTAGTCAAAACTTTTCATATTATTGTTTTTCCCAAAATTTCTACTTATATTAACAAAAGCCATTTTGGTATTGTTATTTCACCTCTGACATTTAATATTAATGTGTAACAGAAAAAAAAATTGATTCCTATTTACCAGGTCAACTTTTTAATATAAAATTTCTTTCAGAAAAAGTTTTGTTTCCTACCAACGACATCTTGATTTCCTATGGCTTGAATTTGACAGCAGATTGCCAATAGAAAATATTTACACTTTACCATTTGTAATACACACTGAACATTTTTGATTGATAAGAGCATTTATTCAAGCAGAGTCTTCATTTTTTTTTTAAACATTCTTTATGTGGCTGTTCCAAGGCAAGAACCTATATTATATTGTTTCATATTTTGGCATACAGGGACCTTTTATGGGGTAAGAGGTATGACGGGAGCACACATTTTACTAATAACTGTTTTCTATTCACCTACCAGCATCTAAAACCAACAGGGCTAATAGATAGGTTGAAACTGACACAATTCGAGCAATAGTTACTTCCCTTTTGTTGCTAAGTTGGAGATTCCTTCACAAATCAGTTAATGTACTCAACTTGTTATACTGACCGTTACACTTTTGAAAAAGTTGTTTTCTGAACAATTTTAATTTCTTTAAGCCTTTCTTAATTGATCACTATGATCTTGTATAAGTATCTTTTATCAGTCTTTTAGTATCGCATGTTTCAGTTTGGTAAGTCATAAGAAAATCAACTGTTTATCCCTCCAAAATAGCACCCACGGGAAATAACTCAAATTCAAATAACATCATATAGAAACATTATTTCTACAAGTAAATGGCTAAGCTAACATTTTCTGTGCTATAAACTAAAGAACTCGAAAAAAGAATTTCAATGGACGGGTCAGTATAACTTGTAAATGATTCAAAACATACAGCATTTTAGTATAACATCTTATTATAACTTAATATCAAGTTTGTATTGATGAAATGTGGTTCTTAATAAATCATTTGTAAATGTATAACGATTACAGAATGTTTAATGATTTATATGATGTTTTACATGGACTCAATTATTTATCACCTATGCAATTTTCAAGAAAATCATTTGAATATTGTATTCAAAATCCTATTAATTTTCCAGTTTGCTCAAAAATATTAATTATCATCATAAATAATATATATGCACCAATGAATGTCATAAACTGACTAATACATTTGTGTACTTCAAAATGCAGTAATGATTAATGATTTGATGACTTGCATTATATTGAAATGTTCATTAAGCAGATAATTTGATCTTTTTTTCTTTAAAGGATAGAATACATAGCATTTGCTTTTTATATTTTTTTTATTTATTATGAAAATGTTAACACACTGCAGCAATATTGATTTTTTTTTTAAAGGATGACCAACTTTCAAAACTTAGGTCAACTGAAATCCGTGAGGTATACATGTTTTTGAACATGTAATTAAGTCATATACAAATACATAATTTCTGAACTAAGAACTTAATACCAAAACTGAAAAAATATGTTACTGTGAGCTATTGCTCAATCTAAATAGCACCACAAGTATTTGGTAAAACAGGAAGTATAGCTGAAGGAGTAATGTGAAAGTGCATCGCTTTGTATAACATGCTAAAATGATTGATTGATACAAAATTAAAGGAAGCTCTGATTCGTAGGTTCTTAGAACAAGAGGGTTCTTAGAGGCTGATCCCCTCACCTGCAATATTGCAACTAAAAAACTTGGGCAATAACCCTTTAATGGAAGGGGTTAATTCAAAATTTTGGTTCTTAGACTTATTTGTAGGTCTTACTTTGCTGAACATTTTTGACTTTTAAAGATTCCCTCTATCTATCATAGTTTCTGTGAAACACTAAAAAATTTGGTAAAAATCATCTTTCAAGGGCAATGACTCCTACAAGAGATCAATTGATGATTTCGGTCATGTTGACTTACTTCGCTGAACATTTTTGCCTAGTAAATTTTCTCTCTATCTATCAGTCTCTGCAAAAAACTTTAAAATTTGGTAAAAATCAGATTTCAAGGGCAATAACTTCTATTAGGGATCAATTGACGATTTCAATCATGTTGACTTGTTTGTAGGTCTTAATACATGTTTGAAGTTTCTCTCTATCTATCATAGTTTCCCCAAAAAATGAACAAAAAATTGTCTTTTTGGTATTTTTTACTAGACTTAAAACAGGAGCTGATACAAGAAACCCTATAGATCTTGCAGGCAATATTTGGTTGAGTTCAGTGGTTTCAAATGAGAAGTTTATTTGAAAAAGAGGATGGACATGGCCCATTGGCTCGTGAGCTAATAGGAAAAGGTCAAAGTAAAGATTACACTGTATTATAAAAGAACAGAGTTCCAATATCCCCGCGTTGCACATATTTTATCTGTTCAAGGTCAATAACTATTGAAGACTTAAGAGCAATTTCTGATATATTTAGTATTTCCAAGGGGCATAACTAAATCAAAAATATTTGATCAGCAATTATTTTCGAAAGTGTGCATGACATTGCTGATATTAACCTTGATATGGATTTGATAAAAATCTGGCAAGAATTGTACATGTGAGACCGCCTGACGGACGCATGGACGCCCGGTATTTCCATGTCCCTCCACAAAGCATTGCGCAGGGGACAATAAACTGAAGAGAGGAAAACTTCCCTGAATATGAATGTGACAGTTAATGAGGAGACTTGCAACAGATGCTCCAAAAACTGCACATTTATTGAGAAAATACAAATCAAGAACCTTTAGTGAGCAAACTCACTACCCCTCGTTCCTGTTTAAATAAGTTTGCAGTCCCATATGAAGTATTTGATTTAGCATCCAGAAATCCCTGTCCTGAGCACATTCATGAAATTTACCTTTGAGGTATTGACCTCAAAATAACTTGAGACCTTCCTCTAATTATATGTGACAATATTTCCAAGTGAGGATGCAATCCCATATGTAATATTTGATTTGGCATCCATAAACCACTTTGTTGAAAAAATTAGTTACTTTTATTCAATGTGACCTAGACCTTTGTTATGGTGATCTCAAAATCAAAAGGGATCTTCCTCTCATTATATTTGATCAACTAAGGTTGCTCTCCCTTTTAAGTATTTGAATGACATCCGGAAACAAAATTGACTGACGGACATACTGACTGATGGGTTGATTAACTGATGGACAAACTAAGAGTTGGACAGGAATACTATACACCTCCTCACCGTTTGACTTTTTAAAGTTTCTCTCTATCTATTATACATGTAACTATAAATAGAATTCAGCATTAAAGGCCAATTGCTTCTATGAGGACCTGTGATGATTTCAGCCAGTTGAGTTTTTTGTAGATCGTGTCTCACTGATCATCATTGCTATCAAAAGTTTCTCCGTTTCTAATTTTTTTCATATAATAGGCCAAAATGACAAAAATTGGTAAAATTCATCATTTAAGGGTAATAACTCCTTTAAAAACATTTGCTGTTAAATGGATAGTAGGTACATCTCAACATTCTGGGATCATCAGACACACCTTTTAACATTGTTACCCAAAGATGTTAGTGGGTAAGTCTGGTTCCATTTGGCCCTGGCAGTTGTTTCAGAGAAGAAGATTTTTGTAAAAGTTAACGGACGGTAGACACCAAATTATGAAATAGCTCACTTGGTCCGAGTACACAGTTATCGTCCTTTGATTTTCGTTGTCCACGAATAAAGTCCCTAGTGTGGACAGTGTGTTGCTTGCCAATTTTTTTAGTACCCCTTTCAAATGTATTTCTTCATGTTTTATGCCTCAAATAGCAAGTAGGGGGATGAAATTACACTGTAAAAAAATTTGGGTCATGAATTGTAAAGTAAAGTAGTGATTTGGTCCAGCTGAAAAAGGTTAAAAATTAGCACTTCGGAAGCTGTCAAAAGATTTCAAGACCCCCTTAACATAGAATTGTCCATATTTTGAGTTAGAGCCGATGAAGTTTTCTATAATTTTGATATAATTTGTCCCAAAAGTAGTACAACACACTGTAAAAATATTATTGAGAAAGCGCAGGTGGGATTTTTTTTATTTTCATTTATTGTCTTAAAGAAATGCACTACGAAATAACTGTGTACTCGGACCACTTGGCCGTTTGGGCCAGGCTAGCTTAAAAGCAAAGAGGTGAAAAGATAGTCCAGGGAATACTGGTATAACTTTTCAAATACCCTGAATTACGAAAGAAATCTTTTGGATATTTCTTTATAGAGTCTAAAATAAAATTATAAATTTTCACAAGAGTGCACACGCTGAAATGTCCTGCCTTTTTTACTAACCATTGATTTTATGTTGATAGTCCTAAATACAAAGCTTTACTACAAGTAACACATAAACTTAACATGATCCAAGAAAATGAGGTCAAGGTAAGATAAACCAAACGAGAAATACATGTACACCTTACAATCATTCAATAAACCAAACATAGTTGACCTATTGCTTATTGTTTCTAAGAAACAGTCTTAAACAAGAAAACTTAACATTGACCAATGAACCATGAAAATGAGGTCAAGGTCAGATGAACCATGCCAGACAGACATGTACATGCACCTTACAATCAATTTAGGCATTAAATATAGTTGACCTATTGCTTATAGTATCTAAGAAACAAACTTAACCATGAAAACTTAACATTGACCAATGAACCATGAACATGAGGTCAAGGTCAGATGATACCTGCCAGACAGACATATACACCTTACAATCCTTCCATACATCAAATATAGTTGATCTATTGCTTATAGTTGAAGAAAAACAGACCAAAACACAAAAACTTAACACTGAGAAATGAACCATGAAAATGAGGTCAAGGTCAAATAAAACCTGTGAGACTGACATGTACATCATAAAATATTTCCATACACCATTTATAGTTGACCTATTGCATATAGTATTAGAAAAAAAGACCAAAACTCAAAAACTTAACTTTGACCACTGAACCATGAAAATGAGGTCAAGGTCAGATGACACCTACCAGTTGGACATGTACACCTTACAATCATTCCATATACCAAATATAGTAGACCTACTGCTTATAGTATCTGATATATGGACTTGACCACGAAAACTTAACCTTGTTCACTGATCCATGAAATGAGGTCGAGGTCAGATGAAAACTGTCTGACGGGCATGAGGACTTGAAAAGGTACGCACATATCAAATATAGTTATCCTATTATTCATAATAAGAGAGAAATTAACATTACAAAAAATCTTATCTTTTTTTTCAAGTAGTCACTGAACCATGAAAATGAGGTCAAGGACAATGGACATATGACAGACGGAAACTTCGTAACATAAGGCATTTATATACAAAGTATGAAGCATCCAGGTCTTCCACCTTGGAAAATATAAAGCTTTTAAGAAGTAAGCTACCGCCGCCGCCGCCGGATCACTATCCCTATGTCGAGCTTTCTGCGACAAAAGTCGGAGGCTCGACAAAAATTCAAAATGACAGTCAGTACTATGATCAATAGAATATAATGACAATAAGTAGGAAATCTTTTTGTCTAATGTTCTCATGGCCCACACTGCAGGGGACAATAAAATGTTGCACAATGTATGTGGAATGCTGTAAAATAGTATGTGTTGCATATCTATAGTCACTCATATGATATATTAACCAATATTCTTGAGAGTTTGAAGACTCTAGCTTTCAAAAAACTAAAGGACTTGAGCGCCCACATATATTTATAGTTATACTCATCAGCAGGGCATTCATCCCATTTTACAACTAATTTGTATTTGTGCAATCCATCAAAAAAAAAATGCAATTTTATCAATATCATATTTTAGATGTTCCAAAATTCACTTTATATGAAGGAAGCGATCATAAATTATCATTCTGCACTTATTACATCATTCCTTAATTGCAAAAATATAACATATAGAACCTCTAGCTGTTGGCTAATGCCTTCGCTAATGGATCAATTTGATGAATTGAATTTTAATTGTAACTTATGAGAACCTAGCATTGCCAACATTGTGACTTAAAAAGGAGATAGATTTTTGGTTGATAACAGTATTTACAAGAAAATATAGTATCCTACCTAAAATATTTACACGTAGCCACTCCTAATGCTACCAATGTTATACAGGCACAAACCAAACTCCAGATAATGATTTCTCGAGAGTTGTCATCCAGGAGTGGAGTGGGTAAAACTTGTACTGAAAAAAATATAATAGTGAAATTAAAATGAGGGATATGAAAAATTGGTAAAAATTGTTTTAAACTGTAAAATTCTGCATTTTCATAATGCAATAGTTATTCATATTTTTAAAAAATAATTATTTCAAACAATTCTTACATTCAAACACTGATGTATATTAATAAAAGTCATTTAAGTCCCCATTTCATCAAAACAATAGATTAGAAATGCAAGATGAAGTGCATTTTGTATTATTTTAAGCAGTAATTGACACTTCTGAAGATAAATGCATGATGAAGTGCATTTTGTAATATTCCCAGAAGCACTATTGACACTTATGAAGATAAACCTGTGAAAGCATTACATGGTGTCGGTGCTTTGTGCAACAAGTCTGATACTACATCTAATCAATTTTCTCATAACTTTTCACTGTGTTTTTAAAGGATGTTCATTTCTTAGGTTTTTAACTTTTCCTTAATAAATTGTAATCCCTCTGGCCTTTCCTATGCTATGCATTACACAAATGATTGTCCAGCAACCTCTGTTACATATTTCACACTTTTTTCTAAAAAATTGCATATTTTAAAATTCACTTCTGGGAATTTATTTTTAAATTCTTGTTACTTTTTCATACTATGCAATACAATCATGACATTTCCAGACCTATAAAATGTCCATAGATAATATTTTTCCTTGCTGCCAAATATATACATGTATTCTAATAAATTTTTCAAATATTATAATAATATCTCAATAACAATCATATGAACAAATCTATTGTTTCAATATTTCTTAAGTTTCATACATTATCCATTAGAAAACTATATTTAAGTTTTGATTATCTTGATTTTGGCAGCAAACTTCATAATCAAAGAACCTGAACTAAAAAATAACTGATATGTCAAGAATATTTGAATTATCTCCATTGATTAAGAGTTATTTGATCTTTTCCCAGATTTGTATGGCATAACACATTTCTAAGTATATAATCAAATATTTGTTTAGTGCATGTACCTTGATATGTGTCCATAATAAATATAGCTTTTCAAGATCACTATTGTTATAGTTTTAAGTAATAACAGACAAACACAGATAAAATTCATGTCATTGTTCAGTGTATTTTTTTTTCTTCGATTTTTTTGTTACAGATATCTCAATTACTAAATGGTATCAAAGCAACAAAAGCCTCCTAAGGTGAAATTACAAACTAGAAACCTTGCTTTTATCTTAAACATCCTACACAAAGCTGTTACTTTGTCATTAAACACTCTAATATTATCTCTGTTTAATTTATATATTTCATTTTAAATTGTTAAATCATTCAGGGGTGATAACTTCTGCTTATGTAATATCAACAATCACTTAATTCAATGTTTATTACACAAATTTTCCCCACAGATAACATCTGCAACAAATAAAATATCATAGATTTCACATAAATTCATTGGAGTTTAATCAATTCTACATACAAGAATCAATGCATTTTGATAAAGTTGTAGTCTTTAATATCATTATTTCTATAATCCCATATTTTCAACTCTTGCATTTCTATGACAAATTTTGAATACTTTAATTATTTGAAGTGCAATTAGTAAAACTTGTCAAATTTTGATTTCTTATCAGTGGTTATCTGATTAAAAAAGAATGTAAACTGTTTGGTGGATATCTGATTAACATAGAATGTCAACTGTTCGGTGGTCATCTGATTATAATAACATAGAATGTCAACTGTTTGGTGGTCATCTGATTAACATAGAATGTAAACTGTTTGGTGGATATCTGAATAACATAGAATGTCAACTGTTCTGTGGACATCTGATTATAATAACATAGAATGTCAACTGTTTGGTGGTCATCTGATTAACATAGAATGTCAACTGTTTGGTGGATATCTGAATAACATAGAATGTAAACTGTTTGGTGGTCATCTGATTAACATAGAATGCCAACAGTTTGGTGGTTATCTGATTAACATAGAATGTCAATTGTTTGTAGGTAGTCACAATTTAAATGATGAAGTCAAGAATATGAAAGTCAGCATGTAGGGGCAGTAACATTGTAGTAACTTTTAGTCTGAGATTGGTCTGATGTCTGACAACCATATTTTGGACTTCCTGGGGACATGGGGACCAACAGCTCCAGCAAGTCCCAAAATGGCCGACAGAAGTGAGAGCAATCAAAGATAGTAACTTTATGTGACCACCCAGTAACAACAATTATGGAAATTCCAAAAGGACTTTTTCTATTTTGTACATGAATCAGGCCATTTGTTATCTTGTTTGAATTGTTTTACATTTTGTCATGGTGGTGCCTTTAATAGCTTGCTAAACAGTATGGGTTTTGCTCATTGTTGAGGGCCGTACAGGAACTGCATTTGCATTACTTCATTTTGTATCTGGTTGATAATTTTATCATTGTAATCATACCACATCTTCCTATTTTTATATAAGTTCTTCAAAGCAAATAAGGAAAAAAAATAATGAGCTTTAAAAATACAGTTCCCTTTTAAGTATCAAACAGGCACCACAACTTAAAGGATATTAATTAGGTGTAATGGATATGGACCCTGACTCAATAACTTGAATTTCAACTTTGAACTTTGGAATTATCCATTCATCATTTCATGTTTTACATTTTTCGGAACATTTGTGGACAATCAAACTTAAGTAATGCAATAAGATTAAAGACAACACATTTTATTTAAAATTCAGCAGTAATATATTTAATATTTGGACAATATTTTTTTACTGCTTGATCTTATTGTGATTTTTAAAAAATATTAAATTGATGTAATTTGTTGCCTACCTAATAATTGTCCTTGCCAGATCTAATGACCTAGACTGACCCCTGTTCCAAAGATTTGTGCTTGTCTAATTCCCCCTATCTGAAAAGTACTGATAGATGACAAATCTCCTTCTAAATAATAAAACATTTGTACTCCATATTTTTCAATTTGGCATAGATACAATAAGATTGATTGATTGATTGTTGCAAGCTTAATGTCCAGTGACAATTATTTCACACATTTTCAGGATGTGAACACATTAACAATCAATACAATAGGTAAACTGGTCAGAGAACACAGTTATTTCGTAGTGCATTTCTTTTAGACAATAAATTCAAATTAAAAAAATCGCACCTGCTCTATCTCAAAAAGATTTTTACAGTGTAGTGTACTACTATTGGGACAAATAATATCAAAATTATAGAAACTTCTACCAGCTCTAACTCAAAATATTGACTATTCTGTGTTAAGGGGGTCTAAAATTCAGTTTGACAGCTTCAGACATTCTAATTTTTGACCTTTTTTAACTAACTCACTACTTAAGATAAAGATTCAGCACCCAAATTTTTTTAACATGTAATTTCATCCCCTTACTTAATATTTCATGCATAAAATATCAAGAAAAAATTGGGAAAGTGTATAAAAAAAAATGCAAGTTATACACTGTTCACACTAGGGACTATATTCGTAGACAACGAAAACCAAAGGACGATAACTGTGTCCTTGGACCAACTCTGCAAGGTAGGCCCACCAGGATGATAGGCAGGAAATTCAAACTGCCATTGGGAATGAGAGTAAAACTGCTGGATAGGGGAAGAAATTTTGCCTCGCAAATCTACTGACCCCTTTAGAGAACTTGTTGCAAGGATTCTTTAACATGCAGAGAGCATGGCACTATCCCTGGTCCGGTGAGTACACAAGACATCAGAATTTACATCCCAATTCCCACTGGATGTGGCTGGTTTCTACCAGAGATGGAAGGGTTGTGAAAATATTTCACATGAACACTGCAAACATTTAACTAGCACCAAAAGTTATGTAGAATAACCAGATATTATATTGAGTAAGACTGATCAATAACAATATCAATATTTCAGTGTACATGTCTGGTTACACCAGCTAGTAAATGAAAGATGTATCAACTTTTAATTCGTATTTATCTCTTAAATATCTGTCTACCATGATACAGCTTTTTTCCATTTCCATGACACAATGTACACAGAATGTAACTGTCATTTATATACCATGGACATGTTCACTTTACAATGTTTACAATTAATAACCTAAGATTCTATTTAATCACTCTTCAGAGTCTGACTGCTTCCCTCCTCATGGCTAGAAATTGTGATTTGTGAAGACAGAATTTTAAAAGACATATAACAATTGTATTAGTGACTGATAACCATTATATAAAGCCATTATTTCCTGTATTGTCAACAGCCGATGTACTTCACCGTTTCATCATTTCCATTTTCTGACCATATGAGACAAGTTTTATTACAAATCTGTTTTTGTCGACATTTACTGATCACTAAAATATGACAAGATACATTAACTTTACAACTATTGACAAATTAATTCTCATCTATGGAAAATTCTTGACTAATAAATTCTCCCTGCTAATAATCATTTCTTAAATTAATAAACGTTTTTTAAATGGAATTAAGATTATCACTGACATAAATGTAGGCTAAAAGATGAATAATAATACCGTTAAGTGATTACTAGACCTTACACGAACTGGATTAGACAAAATTCCAACAACTACATTCAGAAAAAAACAAAACAGCAAAAATCTTTTCCAAGAAACTACTTAAGAACAGTTTTTATAGTATCAATAAATATTTTAAAAGATAAAACAGTTTTTTAATGGTCATTAAATTTAAGTTAACAGGTGAGTGTCTCATAAATAATTAAGACATGAGTTCTGTAAATACAAAATAAAGAGGTATGAAGAGCTAATATGTGGCCTAGAAAATCAAAAACAAGTTAAATATCTCAATCCATTCAATATTATAGTGATTTTATTAATTAATAAATAGGATGTTAAAGTACAGTGTATGGTCATTTTAGTGTTAGAAATGTCATTTGTGATATCATATGTTATAACTGACACATATGAACAAAAATGGACAAAGTTTTTTTGTAATAGGCCTCTCCAAAATGATTATTTCACTTGCATTACAATCTTTGTATATTGTGTCTTGTGGCAAAATATAAGTCTGTTTCCTCAT